TACAGCGATTTCCATATAGGTCTTTGGCACTATATGCTTTTGGTACTTTTGCCATAGTCAAATTCTTGATCGTGGGAGAGATAAAAATAAAATTTTGATAGCTGAAGAACCTGGGATAGAAAATGAATAGATAATTGTATCAAAGATTCCAATTCACCCACTTTCTGAATTGAAAACAGTATATAAATGAATTTTTCCATTGAATATATATGATAATTGAGGCTGAGGTAGTTCTCTTTATTGTATTAAGTGATTTCTACACTAAACAAAAATCAATATTTCATAATGGAGGTATGGGTCAAGTTAATCTGAAATCTTATCGAGTAATACTCAGCGCGTTGCTATCTATTAATATGAAGGCTTTGACGACATCAATATCAAAGTCGTGAAATATTTGAAATAACATATTTTTTATTATTGGAGACAACGAATTGGATTCTCGATATGTTCTACCTTAGTTATGTGAATTTGATTGAACGGTTTTCAACCTAAAATCATTTTAATTTATTTTTGGTATATATTTGACCTACTGTTAACCTATTTATTAATTCATTTTCATGTCTGGTCACAATAATTTGTTGCTTTACAAATTAGTGTTATTACATTTATTAAACATGTTTATATTCGTTGCCTACTCATTTTTGCTCATTCTTTTTCATTTCAAATATCTCATTTTTCTGGCTCGTATGGCACTGTCAACATGTCAAGTATATTCGAGCACTTGATTCCGTTTTTTACACAAAATTTGATGCAAATTCTTTGATCCATTGATCCTAACTTATATGCCTCTCACCAACAAACTAAACATGCTAAATAGCTGATATTGCCATTTTGTAGGTACACTTCTTCAACTTGGCAAAATATGAAACAAACCGTTGAAGATGATTTTCCTTAAATTTCGAAATGGTTCCAATTCAATAAATGAACTGTTGATTCCAAAAAAACTTGGTATTTACCATTCACATCTTATATTAGCGGATCACCGAACTTAGGTCCCGTTAAAGTAAGCTTGAACAAACAAATTCCTTCAGCAACATCGGTGAAATACCTTGGTGACACCATAGATCGACAAGTGGGATTTACATATGGAACAACTTCTCAAAAAATTAAGAGGGTTTCTTCCGAAATTTAGATATCTCAAAGAATTTATGGACATTAGACAATTAAAAATGATTAATTTCTCGCTAGAACAATCACATCTTACATACGGAATTTAAAACGTGAATGTGGTAGTGATCTCGTATATGAAGAAGCTCAAATCATGGACATCAAAAAACATTTCTGCAAGAAAATATAATTACTCATTAAAAATTAAAAAAATATATATAACAAGTTTGTGAACATGTTCATAAGAATGATTTTTATTTCCACCCCGATGTGACAAAACGATTGGACAACGAAGTGTCAATTACCTGGCACCAAAAATATATAAGCAAATACCTCATGAGATTCAGAATATCGAAAAATTTAAAAAATTCAAGAATTCTTCAGCTGAGTGGATTCTCGAAACGGGACGTAATATTTTTATAGTCTATTTCAAAAGAGTGTAGAGTAATAAAATCTCATTAAGTATTCAAAAGCGCTACAGGGTGATCCGTCAATAAATTCTGTCAAAAAAACTCCTCATTGGTCTTAAATTATTCAAAAACCTATTTTCTATGAAATCAATATAAATAGTATAGCAAACGAAGATAATCGAGATGATTTATGAAGATCTGTTTTACTATGTGACAGTTACTCTTGAAATCGAATACTTTATTCAAAGAGTGCCCAAAATAACTGTGCCAAAACTATTTTTTGAGTTTGGTGGTCGTAGTCTGCAAGTCTTTATACCTGAAGTATCGTCTACAACTGCGGTAAACGAAGAGGTAACAGATGAGTTTTGAGTTTACTGCTTCATCGTCTTTATCGCAATATGCGTTTTTGGCTAATGAAAACATCCGATGCCGAGGTGGAATTTCCCCAGAGACATATATTATACCTCAGCCTTGAATCAATTTGGGCACACAGAATCACAGTTCGGAATTTACAAAGTGATTTTTTGATACCATGCTCGACTTTACGAATGCTGAAATGGCTGATATGGTTTTTGCATACGGCTTGGCTGACGGAAATTCAAGCGAGGCCAGACGCATCTATCAGGAAAGGTTTTCCCAACGCGTGACTTCTTGTGCAGGGACATTTGCGAATCTTTTCCGACGACTTTCTGTATCTGGAAGCTTTGAAACAAATTCTGCAGTAGGACGGCCACGGACTACAAGAACTGTAGAATTGGAGGAGGAGTTTCTCGATGAAATTAGTGAACATCCAGAGACAAGTACAAGAAAAATTAGTCAAACTTCAAATGTGAGTCACATGACAGTTTACAGAATTTTAAAGGAACGGCAATTATATCCTTATCATTTTCAGCGTGTCCAGGCACTTACGCTACGTGATTTCCGACCACGTATCGAATTTGCTCAATGGCTTCAAAGAAATGTTGAACAACATCCGCAACTTTTATCGAAAATCCTCTTCACAGATGAGGCTAATTTTTCAAGAAATGGTATCATGAACTTCCATAACGACCACAACTGGGCGGAAGATAACCCACATGCGATAAAGCAAACTCATTTCCAAGACAGATTCTCTTTTAATGTATGGGTAGGCATAATTGGGGATTATTTGATTGGGCCCTATTTTCTCGCCTTACTTTTGAATGGATATGCTTGCACACATTTTTTGGAACACGAGCTTCCCCAACTTATGGAAGATGTTCCCATTGGTCTCCAAAATCACTCTTGGTTTATGCACGATGGAGCTCCTGCTCATTTTAGTGTGATAGCAAGAATTTTTTTAGACGTAACATATCCCCAACGATGGATAGGAAAAGGAGGCACTGAGCATTGGCCCCCGAGGTCACCAGACCACAATCCCGTCGTTATTTTTTTTGGGAACACCTTAAATCACTAGTTTATGCTAGCTCCATTGAAAACGAGGAAATGTTGAGGGATCGCATCATAGCTTGCTGCGAAACGATAAGAAACACTAAGGGCATTTTTCAACGGGTGCGGAATTCTTTGATGAGGAGAACAGAAGCTTGATTTAATGTTGGGGGTCGTCACTTTGAACAGTTGTTGTAATGGTTGTTTCGTTCAATTTTTATTGTTTTGTTTTTTACAAACTTCGAAATATAGCACTTTCTAATTGAATAATTAAACCTGACAATTTTTTTTTAATTTGGATTGAATAAGCAGTTCGATTATGCTCAGTTTAGAAGAAGTCTGTACGGATATACTGCGTATAAAGTTTGATGAAAATAAATAAAGTTGCAAAAAACCTATGACAAAAACCTACCATGTTTTGAAAAATTTCAACAATCTGTATTTCGAAAACGAATCATTCTTCGTTGAACATTTTATAGGAAAATGTTGTTTATTTTGACGAGATCCACCACATACTTAGTTTTTGTAATGTTCTCAGCAACTTCCCTAGGAGCTACGTAATATGCATCGAAATAGAAAATTGTAAATATCTCGAAAACGATCACTTCCAGCGTTGTTGAGGAGGTATACCTCTTTTACTTGGAAAATGTGTGGTAATTAGGTTTTTTATGAAAAGTACCAAAAGTTTACTGTCAAAAAAGTTAGGGCAATTTGAAATACATAATGACAGCATACGCAGCGCCCTCTAGATGTTACATGAAAATTAATACGAAATTATGATTTCCCACGTCAAAAAACCCCGGGTATCGAATTTCGTGCAAATAACTTATTTTTTGCAAGAGTTATTTTCAGAAAGCGAACAAAAAAATTCAATTTCAACACCCCGTAACTCCGAAACGAAGCATTTTCGGACACAAGATCATATAGACTTTTTTCTTAAAATTGTCTCAGGAATACGTCACTTGAATATTTTGACGTACTTATGTTACACCCTGTATACCAAATTTTAGCTTCCTAGGACTTACCAGTACGGATAAACACCTTGACTCGTGTTCCTATCACCAAGTGATCACCTTCAAGAGGAAGATCAAACAAAGACTTCTGGCCGGCTTCAAGGTCGTGCGTCGTTGGTGTTTCAGAGAGGTACTTTAGTGAGTGGAAGAGAGAAACGTGTGACGTAATCGATGCAGGATGGAATGAGTATCGAAGAGATTCAAAGAGCGTGGGCCCCCTTGGGACTCCGCCTCACCCGTCAAACCTTCTTAGGCCTTCACCACTGAGCCCCCTTGTCGCGCACCAGTCACATGATCCTAGCAGCTGAGTGAAATCAATTAAAAAAAACTTATTTGAACACAGGTCTTCGGCGTTGTAGACGTTGTCCTTAGCGTCGACACCAACGTGGAATATTGAAAGTAATTGCGAACTGTTAATATTCATAGCGGTTGTTTTTTCGGGACTGAAATTGACTCATTTTATATACTTGATCGCATTTTTTGATTTCCGTAGAATGTTAGGGAAATTGAAACGTCATTGTCACAAAGAAGATAAGGAAATATCCTTAGATTTGGGGAAGAATTGATGTTTCATGTAAGGGTATGTTTGTGAGAGTGAGAGAGATACTTGCGACATAATCGACGCAAAGAGAGATGGAGATGGTATCGAGGTGATACGCCGATCAAACTGTTTGATCTTTCTCTTGAAGATGATCACTTGGTGATCGAAACAAGTGTCGAGGTGTTAAAATAACGGTTTGGCGTTGGGTTGGGTTAGGTTAGGTTAGGTTGGGAAAAAATTCAGTCTCATATAGACAAACATTGAAGCCCACTTCTATTGTGTTTGAATGAAGTTCGCAAATAAATGAAGCAAGAGACCGGATTTTGCAAGGCAACGATGTGACGACATTTTTTAATGTATTTTGTTTCCCAGCCTTCCGATTTCACCTTTTTCACCTCGTCTACGAATACAATTTTCCAAATTGTCAAATTTTTCTATATTAACAAATTCAATACATCTGAAAAAGTATTTACTGCATCTCAGGTGCAAAAACGTCATGTATACTGGTTTTTTTTGTTTCAGTTATTACGTTTGGAAAATAACACAGAACAATGGGATAGATTTAAGGAATTGCCAGTTCCTTTAAAGCTGAAGATATTCATGTTCAATGTGACCAACGCTGAAGACGTATTAAATGGAGCCAAACCGATCCTTCAAGAAGTAGGACCATATATTTATCAGTAAGTATTACTACTATTACTATTGAAATTTTTGAAAGGACTGAGGGTAAGTAAAAAAGCCCATTTCAAAGAGTTTCATTGAAAAATTTTTCATTTTGAATGTATAGTCTATACGAAGTCAATCCGAACACCTGATATCACGCCGCCTAAGCCGTACAAAGAAACTGCCGACGTTCGGTAACTATATAGTTTTTATGCCATTCGAATTGACTTCGTATAAACTATAACTAAGTGAACGAAAAAGTACGAAACATTTTAATCGAATGTTCAAAGTGAAGTATCACTTGCTTCTTGATAATAATAAGCCAAACTTTTAAAACATGATGGTATATATTTTTAGTGAGAAAATTACAAGAAACATCTTGTCTGCAAATGCTGCCGATGATACTATCACGTACCAGCAAAAAATTCAGATGACTTTTAATGAAACTGAGTCAGGAGATCACAAGGAATCAGACTTAGTGACTATAGTGAATCCAGTTTTATTGGTAAGGAGTAGCATGATTGGCACCATTATTCATGATCATATAATATATCTCTCGGTATATATTTTTTAATTCATATATAATAGATATCGAAAAATGAATATACGTTTTATTGGACACAAAGTTGATGAACATTCCAAATATGACTGTATTAACACGGTCAATTAGCATCAAATTGATCAACACAAAGTTTCTGAAACCAAAACATTGCCTATCTCGTATGCAATTCTCTATTTTTTGAAAACTGCCTTTTGACTTCTCACTTCCAAATCATTAAACAAAAATTTGTGAAACTTTTCGACAAAGAAAGATGTGTAGATCATGGAAATACGCTTCTTATAGATCTAAAACAACGCCTTCCAAACATATGAAATCACTGTTTCTCCTTCAGATAAATCTCCAAACATTCGTAATGGAATTGAAATAAATATAATTCATATTAAAGTTACACAACCCCTTATATCTTCGGTAGTTTTTTACTTTTTTGCTTAATGGTGGAGAAATAGAAAGCCAAAAATTGATCTTGAATAAAAATATTCCCTGTTCAATTTAGCAAATTACTTTCTGGAGTGTGATTGGCTAACTGATTTTGGCAATTATATTAACTTGTGGTATTCAACAAAGCGAACAGTATATTCAAGATTCTAAATTATACAATTGTGAATCTTGATTCCATTTTGTACACAACATTCGATGCAAATTCTTTGATCCATTTTTTTCGATAACAGAAAATCGACAAACACGCAAAACACTTCTAACTTTTATACCGTTTATCCAAATTAAATAAGCCAAACAGCCGAAACTGGAACCATATGTTCGAGATGAGTACTAACATCAGAAATATTTATAATTTCAATTTAGAGGCGAAAATAGCGCTAAAAGCGGCCGATTCGCGTCCCGCATGAGTTGACCAATATGGACCTTTGAGCAAAAAAAATCATTTTAACCTATTAAATATGAATTTTAAGAAAAAAAATTCACATATCTTCTAGACACCTGAATAAATGAAAATCCATGGAAAAAGATTTCCCGTGATTATTTTATTAGATATACTTACTTTAGTTAACTAACCAATTCTTATAAGTTCAAAATTTACATAAAAACCCTGATAATTTTTAAACTGAAAACCTCAAATTTTATTCACTGCTTGGAGCTTTCATTGATAGCCTTCAAAGTAGATTTCCGTTGGAAAAATTGAAAAATTTTGATTTTCCACTTTGTTATTAATAATCAAAGACGTTAAAAAGTGAAAAATTCAATTGAAGCAATGATTTTTTTCAATAATCCGATTTATTCATATTCTTATTAAGTTACATACAAATTATTTTTGTCTATTTGTTTAAAAAAAATTTATAACAAATATATTGGGGGAATTTTTTAAATACTCCAAAAAAAACAAAAACAACTATGTGTAAAAAAATTTCATTATTTTCTACATTTTTTTTTTATTTTTCGCGTTTAGCAATTCCTCATGGTTCTCAATCATTGTTATTGAAATAACTCATAAATTAATGAAGATAGGACAAAGACACTTCAAGTGTCAAGAAAAATATATGATCTCAATTGATTCGAAACATATCACAAATAATGTCGATTGCTTCTGATAGAAGTATTTTAGGAAAAAAACGCGGAAACACGTCAGTTGATTTCACGTTGTACGCATTTTTTGGCAATGAAATGAAATATTTCTTTTTCAACTCCCAGCCGCAAGCCTCCCCAACTTTTTTTTTTCAAATGCAAACCTATGTCGTGTATGGGCTCATTGAAAAGCTCGTAAAAAATGGAATCTGACCATACCCTTTATTTTTTTTACTCATGCGGTTACCACGAAATGAGAAAAAACTCTTTTAAAACCAAAAAAGTTAGAAATACCTACTTAGTGCTATCTACGGGTGAATTAACGTTGCAAAAAACAAATAAGTGGTGATGATGAACATTGCTCAACAATTGCTAAGGATCACCAGTACCTACTTTCTGAAAGTTTACAAATTTTAAGAACAGACCAACCGGGCCAAGCACCAAACAAATTTTATTGACTTATGTGTAAAAATGATAACGTAATGTAGCATCAACATTAAAATGTTAAAATTGGACATTGCCTTATCTCTGCAGGAAGATCCACATTTGTCAACGGTTTCAGTAGCCCATAACAATCCTGCGTCTAGACGTACGATTGGGAAGTTTTCGAAAACGGAAACATACCACCCATATAAGGTATGTCTTGTCCAAGAGCTCTTGGAAGATGACTATGACAGGCGTTTGCAATTTTGTGAGGAAACTATGAGGCGATGTGACGAGATTAATGGGTTCCCACTCAACATACTCTTTTCAGACGAAGCTACTTTTTATTTACATGGAGTAGTTAACAGGCACAACTATCGATTCTGGAGTCAGGAAAACCCACACTGGAAGCTCGTACGCAGCGTCCTCAGAAAGTAAATGTATGGGTAGGCATCATCAACAACAGAATATTAGGGCAATACTTTCTTTTAGGGAAACCTTACAGCTGCACGCTACTTAGATTTTTCATCCTTTGAATTAGTCCTTGCTTTAGCTGTTATGTTTCCCAATGGAGCAGATCCAGATATCCCTACTGAAACACTTTGGTTCCAACAGGACGGCGCTCCCCATATTTTGATATTAATATCAGAGAATATCTCGATGACATATTTGCAGGACCCTGGATTGGACGACGTGGTACAATTGAATGGCCGCCAAGATCCCCAGACTTAACGCCATTAGATTATTTTCTTTGGGGATATATGAAAGACAATGTTTATTAAAATAAGCCGACTAATATTGAAGATCTAAAAAGCAGAATTAGAATGGAATCACATAACATACCGGCTGAGGCCATTCGGAATTCCGTAGATGGGTATTACCATCGCCTAGGAGCCTGCCAAGTAGAGGGTGGAGGCCAATTTCAGCATCTGTTACCTTAATTCACCCGTAGATAGCACTAAGTTAGGTATTTGTAACTTTTCGAAAGAATTTTTTCTCAATAAGTTGTAACCACAAAAAAGGGTATTGTCGTTTACGAGCTTTTCAATAAGCCCATACACGACATAGGTTTGCATTTGAAAAAAAAAAGTTGGAGAGGGTTGCAGCTAAAGAGTTGAAAAAATAAATTTCATTTTATTGCCAAAAAATGCGTGCAACGTGAAATCAACTGACGTTTTTCAGCGTGTTTTTCCTAAAATACTGGTTAAAAAGATATTAATTTTATTCTGGACTTTTGCGCACCCCTGTATATCATCGTACATACGTACGTTCGAAGATCTATTCTGCAAGAAAGTATCGTCTGGAGTCCATTCTATGAGATTTATAACGTATGCATTGAAAGGGTTCAAAGAAAATTTTCTGAATTTTCAATTTTCAAAATAGATGGTTCTTACCCCGAGAGAGGTATTAGTAATGATGAAATATATGAACGTTTGGAACTTTTCAGTAAAGAAAATCTCAGTAATTGGGCATCGTTTAAGAGTAGACTGTTCTCAGAGCAAGAACTAATATAATACTCAATTCTCCAATATATGTAAATGTGTATGAATTTCAGTATTTGTTTTCGTTGGTTTCCGGGTTTCGCCGTGGTCTTCTTTGGTTATAATCTCTAAACGTTTCGACAGTAACTGGCGTCCTTGTTTAAATTATAGCACTGTGAATTTAATTTTGTATTGTCCTATAAATGGGTAACTGCTATTATTAATATTATTATTATTATTATTATCGAGTTGTATAAAACAAAACCATCTTGTGAATTTCGGCATCTCAAAGTATTAATCATAAATAATGGACAGAAACAATTCAGACCGTTGACAACTAATTAAATATTATCCTGTTTATCATTTTTTTTTTAGGTTTTATCTCAAACTACAAACATTCTAGAAAGATTCGTTGTCGAAGGTTGCCTCGACAGGGTGATGCCAGAGAAGTATAATAAACTATTCGTAACAGTTGATATGAAGACAGCAATGTTAGAAGGAATTGAGTTTGCCCAAATATCAGATAAGATAGGACCCGCATGTAATATCGTTCGTACGAAAATTCTTGAGAAAACGAAGCCTATGAGGAATGTGCAAAGGATAACCAGCCCGAGCGATCCTAACACTGTTACATCACTGAGATTTTCCTTTCTTCAATATGTGAGTTGATATATCATTTCATTTGATTCTATTAAATTTTGTATAGTTTGCTATTTTGTGTGGTATTTTAGGCAACTATATACACATGTGACATTTCAGAAAGATCATAAGCGTCCTACATTAAACTTATCTAAAATATTCTAGAACGTTTGAATAACCGGAAAAATATGAGTTATTTGTATATTTATGAACATTTGAAGAGATAAGAAACGATGTATTTCAGTTTTCATAAGCAGCATAATAATGGAAAAGAAGGAAAATATTTCAAAGTTGGGAATTCAACTGGGGGTCATTTTACATATTCTCAACGGAAATCACCTTTCATCAACAGGTCACTTCAAATTGAATTTGGATTATTCATCAAATTTTTAGATCCACAACAAGAAAAGCGAACCATGATAAACCCCCGCGAGTTGGGGTGGTGGGTCAAATAGACCCACTCACTTTGGATTTATCCTACCTGAGTAGTAATTGTAAAACTTAATTCAATTAGTGAAAATTCAACTTTAAAACATTATACAGTAATATCATAATTTATTGCATTCTTATTGTTTGTACTTCTCTCAACTGAATTTTATCACAATCCCCAAGCACTCGTCATTTCATATTCAGAACAAAGTTTCTGGGGCCTTCTTGCGAGATCCCCTCTAACCTTTCGATTTTTTACTTTTTCGTATTACTTCAACACGATAGACCAATTCAATTACTTTCTTGGTCATCAAATAATAGCCCTTTCATCTCTTCTTTTACTATACTATAACAAAATGGTGATGCCTTCAGCACGAGCTATTGTATCCACCACATGCTGGCGATATCTGTCACGATGCTGTTTAATGACACTCGTAAGCTCGGCCTCAACCATGTCCTCGGAAAATGGAATTCCTTTTTGTCCTAACCAACTCTGCATGTCTGTACACCAACGCCGAAACAAAAAATTGCAAGCTACCGCAAACACGTACACACACACGCACACACATACACACGCGATCACACAAAGGATATTTAGTAGAGATTTGAAATAATTTTATGGCATGGCATGAGCCATGGGTAGTTACAACCTTCATAAGTGTTCTGTACTGGTTTAATGCACATTCGATTCAGTGAAAAGTGCTTAGGTTAGGTTAGGTCTAAAGTGAGTGGGTCTATTTGACCCTCCCCCGAACCCGCAAGGGTTTACTGTGGCTCACACCTATTCACACTTTGCCAAATAAACCCAGCTTCTCAAGGAAACCGATCAGTTTGTATGGTAGGTGGTCTTTCAGGTCAGAGGGTAAGAGTACGGATCTGACGAACTCTAAGAACCGGATTCGGTCCCCAGCAGGGCAGGCACAAAGTATATGCTCTGCTGTTTCATCATTTTCCAAACAGAGGCGACACATACTGTGTTCCGACAGTCCAAGTCTCTGCATATAATGATTCAAATGACAGTGACCAGTAAGAAGGTCTGTTAGACATTGTAGTTCTTCCCTACTGTAGTCCAACAACTGTTTGATATCAAGCATCGAAGGGTGGATAAACGCCTTGGAGTGAGCCAATCCTGGAAGATTCTGCCAGAAGTCCATAAACTTGGCAACTTGCTACCAATTTAGACGTTGCTCGGTAGGCGCCAAGAGCTTCCAATGCCGCTTGACTGTCTGAGAATATTTTTATTGACTTGTGTGTGAGGTTGGATGTATCCAGTCTCTCCGCACACAATTCAATAGCGTAAATTTCCGTTTGAAATACAGTCGCATAAGTTCCTAGGCAGGTAGATATCTCTGTCCTGGGTCTGCGACTGAAAACACCTGCACCAGAACCGTCAGGTGTTTTTGATCCATCTGTGAACCAACAGTCCTCTCTACTCGAGAATAGTACTTTATAAAGCAGTTCGTAGTTGACAGTTGGAGGCTCAAAGTCAGGGGTCATTTCCAGAATGCTGTGATTTCCAGTGTGCAATGTTCACAAGTCTGTATGCAGTCCATCTAGCCTCTCTCTCTCTCAAAAAAAATGTGGAGGAGTTAGATCTAGAAGGATCTCCATGGCCGCTGACGGTGTGGTACTGATGGTACCACTGATAGACAGACAAGCCTGTCTTTGTAAGCCAGAGAGCTTGGCTTGGACCGTTTTCTGTAAAGCCTTCGGCCACCAAGCAACTGCACCATAAGTGATCATTGGTCTGACAATAATCACATAAATCCAATGGATTTGTTTGGGACCTGAACCCCAAGTTTTACCACAAATCCTTTGACATGTCCATAGAGACAGTCTGGTTTTGTGTAAAACTCTTTCCAAGTAAGCATTCCAGGTGAGTCTTTTATCAAGGACAATGCCAAGATATTTCCCCTCCGTTCCAAATGGAATGACCTCACTATTGAGGAAAATTGGCTTTAGATCGTTCAATTTTCTCCTCTTGTTGAAGGGGATTAACACATTTTTGCTGGGGTTGACACATATCTGTTCCCTCAGGCACCAACTGTGAACAACATCCAACGTGCTTTGGAGGATATTTTCCGACGTGGACCTTGCCAGGATGACAAGGTCATCTGCATAAGCTTAAAGATCAAAGTTTCTTCTGTCCAGGGCATCAAACAGATTATCCATCAGGAGCGACCACAGAAGGGGAGATAGTACCCCACCTTGAGGGCAGCCTCTGGTGACCCTGAATCTGATAGCCTCGCCTTGAAGAGTCGTAGTTGCAGTTTTGTTTACTAGCATGGCATAGATCCAGCAAGTTATGGTCGATTCTATACCCTTTCTAGCCAGAGACAATCCTATAGATTTAGGTAGTGCATTGTCAAATGCTCCTTCAATATCAAGAAATATTAAAAGGATTAGCTAAAATACTCTTCCAAACTATAATAGGGTCTATCCACAAGTAGGTTGTAAATGATTGAACAATTTACCATCATTGTAGTAAATAGAACCCTTGATTAAATTCGAAGTTGGGATGGGAAGTATAAAGGTATAATTGCTATTGCGAGTAGCATAAGGAGTAGAAGCAAAGTTGAACTTCGATTTATGTTTATGAATAAGACAAACTGTCTCTAAGATAAAAAGTGCGATGACTGTTAACATTTTATTGGCAGTGAACAAATTCCTGCACGATTCTCTGGGTTTAACTTTAGTGCCCTCTTCTGTAATATCAATACAAAAGAGAGAAGGGATGAGTTGTATCCTCCTCAAAAAGGTATTCCATAACGTAATCGAGATTCAATAAGTGCATGGTAAACGGTCTTTGCGACATGGAAACCCAACTCATTTGAAATCACTCTAACTGCATAACATCCTGAGGAGATCTTACTCTTCAGTTGTTTAAGGTGCTCATCAAATTTCAGCCTATTATCAATGAATACACTTTGTGTTTAATTTATTTTGTTATAGAGAAGAGAAGAGTGTTCTAGTTCTGGCGTTTAAGAGCGGTGCTTGTTTTGAATTGAAAATAGTAGCCCTCAGAATACACTTGCACGTGTTCGACGCCAGCTCTTGTACTATCATTATCTATAAGTTTCTGTGCATAGAAATGTGTGGTTTATCTTTTTAGCAATTAATCATTTACTTGACCTGAAACGATGTTGAAATTGTGAAAATTTTTAATAGTTAAATGTCCATTTTCACTTAAAATTATTAAACCTGACTATAGAGAACAGGGGCGGCTGTAGCCCATGTAGCGAACGTGTGCTATCAATAATCTTGCGCCCTCTGGTATCAAAATGCGCGGTCGAAAAGGATCACGATCGACTCAACTCCGAACCTCGCTGGAATGCGAGGTTGTTTTGTCTATACCTGCGCTATCGCTCGCTATCACGTTTGGCGCTTGCTATTGACTTAATTACTTTCACTCTATTTAGTGACAACAATTAATATTATGATATATTGCATTTTCTTGTTTTTCTCATTTACTCAAAAGTAAATGTTATACTGATGCCACATCATGAATTCAACCATTTTACATTTTTATAGAAATAATGAATGATTATTTCAAAGCATACCAATAAAAAATAGCGTGGTTGTGCTAAAAAATCGCGTGTGTTAAAGACCTCAATAGTCACTTATACTTGACGATACTTCAACTGGCATAAAAAAAGAAATGGATACTAGACAACCACGGATATAACACATTTTGCCCAAAAAGTAAAAAAAAAACTGGAACTCGATTATGAAAAAGTAAAAAATAAACTAACTAGGAAACAAAATATGTACATGCCTGTACATGAATGGTAGAAAATTCAGCCGCCTTTCTTATTACTATAGTAGTCAAAAGTTTCCCGAACTTTTTTACTAATAAAACACTCAAGAAGATTGTCCGACTTCTCAATAATTTGATTAATGTTACAAATGTTTTTTCAAAACTATAGCTCGCATCAACAGTGAAAATTTTTCAATCTCTGCAAAACCATTTTATTTATTTTCATATCTGAAAGTAAAGTAAAAAAAAACTGGAACTCGATTATGAAAAAGTATAAAATAAACTAACTAGGAAACAAAGTATATACATGCCTGTACATGAATGGTAGAAAATTCAGCCGCCTTTCTTATTACTATAGTAGTCAAAAGTTTCCCGAACTTTTTTACTAATAAAACACTCAAGAAGATTGTCCGACTTCTCAATAATTTGATTAATGTTACAAATGTTTTTTCAAAACTATAGCTCGCATCAACAGTGAAAATTTTTCAATCTCTGCAAAACCATTTTATTTATTTTCATATCTGTTAATGGATCTCTACTAGTCCTAAAAGTCGCCAGTTTCAAGTAGTGATTGATTTTATTGATTTTCAATAGGAATATTTATGCACTCAAAATTTCAGAGCTATCAATTCTATGTTATTTAAGTAAAGTTGATATTTTTTCATAAAAACCGTGCGTTTATATCTAAACAAGTTTTTAAGATGAAATTTATCTGTGACGGGTGATAAGGAATGATTTTATTGTGCAATCAAAAGTACTCTTAATCTGAAGAACAAAAGAAACAATCTGTTGACTGATGAAGCGGTACTGAATAACCAATGAAAAATGTTCAACAATTCAATCAATCCAATGATAAATATATGAGTATGAGCCGTGAACAAGATATGGATATATCAAAATTCACGGTAGGAGACTAAATCAGAAAACGAGTTAATAAGAAAAATAAAAAGTACTGAGAAAATACTCTTGGAAATGAATTGAGAAGTGATTTAACAAAGCAGAGATTGGCTTGAAGTAGCTACAGAAATATACACTGGGCACTGTACACCTAGAGGACACCTGTCAAAATGAGACTACATAACGAGGACCTTAGCTGCAGGCAAAACAACACAGGGACAGAATTTCATAAGACCCTGGATTTCAGACTCAAACAATTTATAGAAAACGTGAATTAAGTCCTGAATACTAGTGAATATGGCAATTATCTAATAAATGACATGTACCAATGTTAAGTCAAGTACAATTAACTGTTTCAGTTAAAACATAACTTAGTAATCCAGTACATCCTGAAGCCATTGTATGGCGAAACACGTGTTGCGTTTTTGTAAAACAATTTAGTGAAAATCTCACAATAAAGTGTTTTTGGAATACGTTAAAAAATATTACCTTTACTAAAACAGCGTAATCTGGCAGTTCTGGGCACTTGCATTGTGAGTTCTAAATCTTTAATGAAATTCAGCAAATCCGAGACTTATGAGTAAAGACTGGTCCTGAATCCACAAAAATTTAAATTGATTTGAATCTGTTTCAGGAGGACTTTCATTCAGTTTGTGTCTGAAAGTTACTTCTTTGCATGATCTAGACATCCATGTACAGAGTTACTTATATTCAAATTGATTACTTCCTTCCTTTCTTTGGAAGATTCCCTCATCCTTTATTTTTGTATCAAGATGGAGTAGTAGAAAGCCAAAAAGTTACTTTCCCAAAAATGAATTACTCCTAAAAATGTAACCCCTTCAATTCATCTCTTTCTGCTTGTTTCCAATCCTTCTTTTGTGCATGAAACTTATCAATGAAATTTTGATGTGTTAATTTATTTCTTTTTTTCAAACTTTCCCATTTCAACATTGATATTTGTTTTTTTGCGTCCTTTATATAATATTTCTTATGATTACTAAAGAGAAGTATGAAAAAACTACATAAAAACTTGGAGAGCAAACTTGGATGTCACACCAATAGGTGGTACCGCACTTACGTCTCTCTCGTGCTCGACTTGGTATTCCACAGTTTGTCATCAATCGAGGACCACCTGCCCGGTATTGAAGATGCCCAACAGGCTGAATCAGCTGTCTACCGGTTATTCTTGAATTAAATCAAATGAATGATCCGAATAGTAGGTACTCATCTATTTATATTTTTCGTATGTCTGCTCGGTTAGTCAAATTTACTTCAACCCTTCAAAAATATTAATGAACCATTGATGTATTATTTTTTTGCAATATTACAATTTTCCCATTTTTGTTCCTTTCCAACATTGATATTTGTAGTTTAAAGTTCTTAGATGTTTTATATTTCTCATAACTACTAAAAAAAGAAGTATAAAGTAAAAGAGAGTCCAATATATACTTTATACATTTATATTACATTGATACATAAAACAATCAAGAAATAGAAACAACTTCAACTGAAAATGATTTTATCAATTAATAAATGCTGTCATAGATAACTACATACATATATTCAACATCATATATAATAAATATCTTTAGCGGTACTTCTACCAATATTTCTCCAAAGAGCTGACAAGATCTTTCGGGTTAGTGCTTGGACCATGTCTTTCAACCGGCACACCATTTTTGTCAATGATGAACTTCGTGAAGTTCCATTTGATGAAATTTCCCAAAGTACCGCCCTGCACATGCTTCAAATATTTCCACAATGGATGGGCATCATTTCCATTCACATTGATTTTCTCGAAAGTATCGAAGTTGACGTTAGTTTTCTGCATAAATTGGCAAATTTCCTCATTAGTGCCAGGTTCTTGGCCCGCAAACTGATTACAAGGAAACGCCAATATTCTGAGCCCCTTGGACTCCGAGTATTTGTCGTACAACTCAATAAGCTCGGCATAGTTATTTTTTGTGTATCCACACTGTGAAGCTACATTAACAATGATACATACATGACCTTTGTACTTCTCCAGAGAAACTGGTTCGCCTTTTATGTCATTTGCGGTGAATTCGTAGATGGATTTGGCGTTTTTAAAATCGATTGGATTAGCCATGGCTGATGTACAGGAACTGTCAACACTGTCAAACGAATTGTCACTTGGACAAAAGTTTCCCAACGCAACTGCGATCAAACTAAACAAAATAATTTGTAATAACATTTAACTTTCATGTATTTATCATTTACATAAAGAACCTGCGCACTAAAAGTTTCAATGAGGACGTGGAGAACTAAGCGTATCACTTATTTTTATCTTAATTATACCGTGAGCACAGGGACGGCGTTTGAAATTATACCGTAGTATTGGTTTTCATTCATACTATGTTCTCACTAAATCACATACAAGTTGAATCTATTGAAAACACTTTTCTCACATCACATCAAGCTAACTTGTCTAGCAAAACACGCGACGAGATGCAGTACTTTTGTTCCGGAACGAAATTTGTTGGAAAAAACTGTTTCTATTAACCGTTAACTAGAAATTGTTTCTTTCATGATAAATCATTTGATCACATAATTGATTAAAAAATAATTGAAACATTATCCAATCATATTCAACGAGTAAAACCAGCAAAATATTTTCATTTGACAGTAAACAATTATTGATATCATTATATATTATTACAATTATTGGTGATCCCGATGAATGAAATCGTTTTTAGATGACACTGCCGTGCCAAGTATCACTTATCATTGTATTGTTAAACGAGGCAAAAAAGTGACTTTCCGATATATGTTGTTTAAGGTATATCCATATTCTCAATGAATCAAATTACGGAGAGCAATTCGTATGTACGGGAATATACACATTCTAAGTGTCAGTGATAAAAACACCATATCTCCCGAATCCTGGAGCTACCGGACATACATCATTTCAGCAGAGCTGATATTTTGACAGTAATTAGTTGAGAAAAATATTTTACAAATATCAATTTATTCTTGACTTCTCGCACTAAGAACGTTGGTCGCTGTTGTTGATAAATGGCAATATCCTTGAATAACACCTATTTTATTTATCACATCTAAGGACCATTTAGTTTATTAATAGCAGTGATCTGGGGTTGGGACGTTGAAAATAGATATTTATAACAGGACCCCTTCCTGTACTACTTATTGTCCAAATACTAATGTTTGAAAATATATTTTTTTAGAAAAGATAAGTTGTTGGGAGAAAGCTTTAGGATGCTTCATCATTCATCAAAATAATTGAATACTTACATCAACATAAACTCTGTAATGAAAGGTAGTTTAGTTCAATCAGAGTTGCCAACCGTAGCGGAATTCCGCTACCGTAGCAGAATTTACTCGACGGTAGCGGCGTAGCGGATTTTAATATAAAATAGCAGAGTTTTCTACATATAATCAATATTGAGAAAAATATGGAAGATGGAGAGGCTGACTCTTGAATAAGTGAATGCACTTGATGGTCTTAGTAGCTGAGGCCATTATATGATGAAAGAAAAGAAGAATATTTTTGGATATGAACAATATAACCTCCAATATCTTGAAACTAAAAGTCTCGACTGTCTCCGAGTATTATAAATTATATGGAACAAATTACAGTGGAAATAGAAGATAGTTCATCTGATTGTAGCTCGGGCGAAAGAGTTACCCCAGTTGAAATTGACGGGAGCAGGACATATATAACATCTTGGTTGGTGAAACATTGTAGTTCTGATATACTAATTCTCTGACACAAAGGAGTTTTTTCCCATCGTCTTTTTAAAAATAAAATTAGCTGGCGGCTCTGTGTTATCTGTATAGAAAATTGTATTTGCAATATGCAGATACCTATAAATGAAAAAAACCAAACTAAACCATAACTTAATATACTTACTCCGACCCTGATTCTTTCATTATTGCTATGTTCAAACGATTATGATTTGAGGTTAGAAGTGATCTTCACATTGGAAATTTATTTCAATACAAAAGTTAGTAGCTTACAGCTGGCAGAAAAAATGATAAACAAATAGTCCATATTGTTCCGAATTAATTTTAACATCCAATATTCATCGAGTGATCAAATCTAATAACAACATGGTACTGTATTATGATAAGAGAGGTCAGCATAAGACAATAGGACTCACAAATCAGATGAGCAACGC